CTTACCTTACCTTACCTTACCTTACCTTACCTTACCAATGTTACATATTCTTTCGTCACCGAAGACAAATTCCTTGTATATATTTTATACTTGGCCATTAAAGTATTCTGTATTACCCGGCTAGGTAACACCTTCAGTGCTAAAATGCCATTTTAGCACTGAGGATGTTACCTAGCTGGGTAATGAAATGTTTGCAAGAAAAGAACCAAGCTCAGAGAACCCCTTAGAGTGCTAAAATGCCATTTTAGCACTGAGGATGTTACCTAGCTGGGTAATGAAATGTTTGCAAGAAAAGAACCAAGCTCAGAGAACCCCTTAGCACTGAAGATGTTACCTAGCAGGGTAATGAAACGTTTGCAAGAAAAGAACCAAGCTCAGAGAACCCCTTAGCACTGAAGATGTTACCTAGCAGGGTAATGAAACGTTTGCAAGAAAAGAACCAAGCTCAGAGAACCCCTTAGCACTGAAGATGTTACCTAGCAGGGTAATGAAACGTTTGCAAGAAAAGAACCAAGCTCAGAGAACCCCTTAGCACTGAAGATGTTACCTAGCAGGGTAATGAAACGTTTGCAAGAAAAGAACCAAGCTCAGAGAACCCCAAGGACTCCACAGTTCAACCCTGAGTTACACATATTCACCGCTAAAGGAGAGACTGTCTACAGAAATCACTTGCTTTTTTCCTCCACCTCCCACCTGCCTTGCAAAGCAGAGAGATTGGAGAGAAAGAGATTTCAAGAGAGTAAGCTGTTTGCATAGCATTTGCATAGCTGTGGCATGATTGTATTGCTTTTGACGTGTACAAGACAGTAAGCAGGCACTCAAGCATTCCAAAGGGGAGGGGAGTGGTTAGGAAGCAAATAAAAGCCAAAGGTGTGAAGCTGAGTAGTCTTGCCTCTTTTCAGCCGGAAAGCACAGTTGCAGTCACGTGATTTCCCAGTTTGCAACTGCTTCGCTTAGTAGCAGAGTTGCCAGTCCCAATTAGGGTCATTAAGTGAGGACTACCTGTTCTGCCATTGCAAATTATATCTCTCTGTGCTGAAGAAAAAAGGACATTGACATACAGCCTGGATTGTTAGAATAGCTGTCTTGTTAGTACATCAGATTTAAAAATATTGTCTTCTTATTCACTCAGAAACTCAAAGCTAGCTTCCTAAAAGCATTGGTTTTCAGACTGGCTAATACATTCTTAATAAAGTATATCACAAACAACTATAAGGGAACATTTTTAAAATGTCTGATAAAAGAAAAACTGTAACTATTGAATAACTGTATTGTTTTTCAGTGCTATTTTTTTTACATAAATATGTATATTGTAGAAAGTTAAATTTACTTGGCAGTGTTTTCTTTATTTATGTTTAGGACATTCACAAAAAGGTGATGTCCCTGCAGTTTAGTGAGTGCCGCACTAAGATTCGCCACGTTGATGCCCATGCAACCCTGAATGATGGAGTAGTTGTACAAGTCATGGGGGAGTTGACAAACAATGGTCAACCAATGAGGAAGTTCATGCAAACTTTTGTGCTGGCTCCAGAAGTAAGTAACATTTTGAATAGTGGTTAGAAGCAGCAGAGTTGGGTGGACTCTAACCATGAGGTGATTACTTTCACATGAAAAGCTTTGTTTGGAATGAAACTTTTCCACTGATGTGGTTCAAATAAATCTTCCTGAAATAAGGACATTGCAAATTGGATTAACTTATCTGTTGTTCGTTATTCTGGAGAAACTATTAGTGTTTACCACTGTACCACACTGCCTTTCTGTACCACTTAAGTATACCAGTTTAAAAAAAAAGAAATAATATTTGGATATAGCATATTAGATGTTGCATAAATGTATTCTATTATTTTGAAAAGCACATTTTTAGTGGAATTAGTTTTTACTCTTTCAGTTACCCTAAAATAAAGTAGACTATCTCAAGTTGAGCTCATGTTTTGAGGAACAAGGAAATGGCTTGCCATTGCCCTTTTCTAGGATTTTTTAAAATCTCTCAGTCTAGTCTACAGCCCTGAGATTTCCCAGTCTTTTATCCAGAAACTAGCCAGGACAAGTCTTGCTTAGTTTAGGGGTGGGGGGATCAGTTGTGGTTGGCCCAAAAAACCTCACTTCCTGCTGGATGGAAATTACCCAACAAACACTTGACTATCATAATGTAGAAGATTTTTTTTATAACCAATAAAGTATTTGTTTTGGCTATGCCTGTCCTTGTGAAATTGAACTGCCATTCATAAAAATCTTTCTATGTCTTCTGAGGCCAACACTGAGTTATTTTGTCTCTCTTGCTTTCCCCCTCTATTTTTGCCCTCCTCACCCACCAAAAAAAACCTCCAACACTATTCAATCAAATTTTTAAGGTTACTCTTGATTAGCATCTTAAGCAAGACAGCAAATTTTGCTTCAGCATTTCCTTCTCAGGATGCTACTGCTTTCTGAATAGGTGCAATACCTGCTTTATGTGCTAGTCTTCCTATTCTCAGGGTGATAGATTGGGTAGCAACTTCAAACATTGACATTCCATAGGTAAGTTATTTCACAGTAGACAAATATATTCCAGGATTCTTATCCATCACTTTCTTCACCCAAGGATATGTATGTGTCAGATAAATCCAGTCATTCTTTAGAAGACTTTGGAGACTTAATCAATTTTTCATTTTCATCACTACCCTTGAATATTTGGGGGATATTACCTTCTCCTCAACTTTGAGGAAGATACAAATAAACCCCCCTTTATACAGAACTGTGAATTAGGTCAGGATTAATAGCATACTTTGTGTTCCTCCACTTCTGGCCTCCACTTCTTCCTTCAACTATTACAGAAAATGACTGGAAAAACTGCTGGAGGCCAGCATGAGCAGTTTCACCTTCGTTAAGAGAAATTGAGCTCCCTTTGAAGTTGTAGGGGAGATGCGTCTAAATGCAAAACTGTAGAGAGTAAAGGCATGTACTCTCATGTACTTACAAGAAGTTTGGAGCCCTCACCTGATTTCTATTACTTCATCAGACTTTAAGGCAGAGGTAGCAAGCCATAGCCCATGAACCACATGCCTTTTGTGCTTTCCCAGAGCTGCTCCAAGTTGTGGGCAAAAATCTGGATTTTTGAGGGAGGGGCAAGTGAAAATTTAAAGCAGCCTTATGTTTTTGCTAGGCTTAATTTTTTTTTATTATTTTTCTAAAAAACAAACTCAACTAGTAGAAAAAATGCCTACAAGCTGAAAATTTCAGTACTAGCCCCTCTGCTGACATCTTGCAGCATTACCAAGAAAGGGAATTCTAGTACAGTGTGGACTTTATTTAATCAAAGGAGGGAAATAAAGGGCAAAAGATCAGACTATAGCTAAAAGGGGCCAAGTTTGATGTCATCAGTTTGAACTAGCAATTCCACATTTGAAGACTAGCTGAGGCTAGGTATTTCTTTCTTGCTCATTTCAGAACACCAGCAGGCTTACAGACACCTGCATAGGACTCAGTTACTCACTTTGAAGATAGGTAAAAAAAATCTTTCTATTGATAGGCAAATTCTCAACTCTGAAGAGTCCCAGGTTTAGAAATTATTCACAGAAACCTGAAACTCTTGGCAGTCAAGCATCTTTATGTCCATGAAGAAAGAAAGGGCACATCAGAGTGGTGTTTTTTAGTTTCTAGAGGAGTAGCTGTGTTTGTCATTTCTACTTAAAACAATAAAGATCCAGTGGGATCCTAAAGACTAACAATGTACTGTTGTACAATCTTTTTTGAGTCACAATACTTGCATTAGATGCTCTGTACCTAAGTCTCCCTCAAGTTGAGCCCAGCTCCTGATGACTTCATGGACATGTCAATGGAGCTTTCTTGGCAACTATGTATACCATAGATATTAAGTTGATTATATTGTTATGTAAGGGCAAAAGTAAAAAGAATATGGACATAATTTGCAGCATCACTAGAGTGTAAATCCCAAATTAAGCTTTCTTCTATCTATGGTATCTTCGTTTTCTCAGGGGTCTGTTCCAAATAAGTTTTACGTCCACAATGATATATTTCGCTATGAAGATGAAGTATTCGGTGATTCTGAAGCTGAACTTGATGAAGGTAGGGAATGTTAAACCTGACAACATACATGTGTTTTTTGATGGCAACAATTTTGGAAAGGAGCCTCAGCACAACTGCATATAAAGGCATTGTAAGCCCAAGTGCTACCTGTTTGCATTATGTTTTATGTTCAAGCAATAAATTAAAGCCCCAAGATTGTATAAAGATTTGGAAATTCTTGGGAACTATCCCCAAATGTTGCCTCCAGAATGTACCACTAAATTGTAACTTTTATTTAACAGAATGGGGAAAGTGTTAAATACATAGGGAGGAATATATTACTGTATATAAACAATTTAATTTTCATTTAGTTACATTTGTATGTAAATTAACTAAACACTAGGGTTTTTGTCTTGACCTTGAATATCCTTTTTTTCCTCTTACAATTTTCTGTAGAGAATATGATCCCTGTAATAAGTAGCTGTTAATCCTCCTTCCCCAATTTACAACCCTAAAATAACCTTAATCTGTGAATAAAAGGTTTATTAACGCTAAAAAAACCTTAATCTGTGAATAAAAGGTTTATAATAGTCTTACTTGATTTCTACTTAGATTAGAGGCTGTACCAAAGTAGTCTGATCCAACTTACGTTATAGTTCTCACCATGATTTGAGGCATTACAACAATTTAAAACAGGCATGACATCAAAACTAAAATCCAAGTACAAGATGTAGTACTAAGAATTATGCAATCATCAAGCTCTAGACTACAGTTGATAAAAGTAAACAAAGATTTGGGTTGCTTTTCTGGATATAAAATCAACAAAAAGAAAACAAAGATAATAAGGCATTTAACTCTTCAAGAAGAAATTTTTGTGAAAAGAGAGACAGGTTGTAAGATAACAAAAGATCCAATGAAATATTTAGGGTTTTAGCTGACAGGATGCAATAAAGACATATTTCAAAATAATCACAACAAATTAGGGAAAGAAATAAGACCTTTACAGGTGGAAAACCTTAAAACTTTCTTGGCTAGGATTTATGGCGATAATAAAAACTGATGTGTTACCAAAGATAAATTTCCTATTTAAAATGACAACAATTCAAATCTCAGAAAAAAATATTTGGGACTGCAAAGAACAATTAACAGATTTATATGGAGGAGGGGAAAAACCAAGAGTAAGATTCAAAATTTTGCAACACTCAAAAGAGAGAAGTAGATTAGCTTTTCCCAATCTCAGACTATATTATATGGTAAGTTGTCTATCAAAGATAACAGAATGGATAAAATTTCCTAACAGCAGAATATCAAGTATAGAATGAGTAGGCTTAATCAATGGACTTCAAAGATATCTATGGGATAAAGAAATAGAAGAAGACAAGGATCTGAAGGGACAAAATATAAGAGAAAAAAAAGTTTTTTTGTTTTGTTTTAAAAATTGTATCCTTGAAAGAAGAATAAGTCCAAAGATTTCACCATTATCACCCTCACATGCTTTGTTACTTCAAGGAAAATTATAGTAAGAAGAATCTGATTATATGCACTAATATGATCATTTGGATTCAAGAAATAGCTAAAGATACAATGAGAATCGCTTAACGAAAGTAGGAATCTACCATGATTAATGTATTTGCGAATAACTGGAAAAATAAAAAGTGATCTCAAAGGAGGACCTTTGAAACTTCACCGACAATACAAAATTGGAAGACCAAAATTGGAGAATATGTGGCAATGGAAAAATTGACTGTATATATTCATAGCAGAAGTCTAACCACATTCAAGCAGGAATGATTCCCTTATATACAACATATTATATAGCAAGGCAAGCTCAGACATTTAGAACATGGTTTTTGAAGGGAAAGAGAAACTGTTTAAAAATAATTAAAATGACTTAAATAGAAATGATTGTTAATGGTAGAAGTTTAAAGCGTAGTATAGTAAGTAGCAGTTAGCGTCAGGGAAAAAAAGAGAAGAGAAAAAGGGAAAAAGAAGAGGCGCAGGCGCTGTTTGAATGCTTTTTTCCTACAATATCTTTTTAAAAATTTTAGTCACTGTATAAAACCTTATCCTTTAAATTTTCACTTAAACCTTTGCCTTAGTGCAATTAAAAACAAAAAACAAAATCCAAAGGATTCAGATAGGATATAATTTTGTTTTGTAGGGATGACTTTATAATGAGCACCTGTAATCTGTGGAATTTGATATTTATCAATGAAATAAGCACAACTTTATTTGCACAACTTAGTTTCATAGAATCTGTATCACAGTTGTTAGAAGGAGTCTAGTAGCACCTTTTTCAACTAACAAATTTTATTAAAAGACATACACATCAGATGCATCAGCTAACAAAGATAAAATTTGTTAGCTGGAAAAGGTGCTACCAGACTTCTGATTTTTTACCATCATAGATTAACATGGCACTCTTCTTATAATATCACAATTCTGGTAAACTATTTGTGGCAGTCAAATGTTGAGATATAGGCAGTAGTTTTAAAAATAAATGGAGAACAGTTGTCTAAAGAAAGCTTATACATACTTTGGAATCCTACTTTCTATTTTCAGTGTCAGGCTACAGATTATACAAGATGTATCATTAGTCTCATATACTACTGCTTGTCTCTCCTCCCAGAATTTTGAACTGGTGTGGCTTTTGGGAATTCTGTGACTTGTAGTTCAACACATCTAGAAGACACAAAGTTGATAAATGCAATGGTAGACAAAAATTGACCAAGCGTTCCATACAATGTTCCCAACTTATGAAGTGTTGAGAAATCTCAGCAAAACATCTTCTAAAAAGAAATTGGGGATGTTCTTCTAAAGCAATTGGTTATTTTATCTAGACTTAGAGTGGTTGCATATACTTTGCCACTGTACTTTAAAGCTGTTGTATGGCATGTGAGTTCCTGGAATTAATATGCTCCCTTTCATTTTCAGTAAAACTGAAAATATAAGAAATTACTGTGGCAGGCATCACACTTTTTTTGGATTATAATGTTTTAGAGTCAGAAGATGAAGTAGAAGAGGAGAATGAAGAAAGGCAGCCATCACCTGAACCTGTGCAAGAAAATACAAGCAGTGCTTACTATGATAGTCACCCTGTAACGTAAGATAATTCTCCATGCTCATGTTGCAGACAGTCTGTGCAAATGTGTTCCAAAATCCAATGAATCTGTATGTTAATGTCTTTATTCTTAACCTAAAATAAAATAAAATGTGAGATCTTGTAATCAAAAGGAAATGAAAGCTTGTTCGTATTTTCTAGAATGTCTGGTACAGGGAGTTAATTACATGGTTAAGTATTGATGGACCACTTCTGAAAGGATATCATGAGGTTTAGGGTTTTTCAGTGATCCTTATATCACATAAGATATGTTTGTTTATCTTTTATTGCAGTTCTATGTTAGAAGGCTTGTATATAAAACTAGGATATGCTGGTGTGTTTTAAGTGCTGCAGGCAGTATTAAAATGACTTACTGTTCTTATGAAGCCTTTTCAGATGCAGTTTCCTGGCAAGTTTGCCAATTGAATAATAGATAATAATCTTCGTTTGTTTTCTTGTTTTATAGCTTGGGTCCCCAATATGATAGCCATGTGCCCTGTGACACCCCTTATGCCTACCCAACTTCCTTTCCTACCTGATTTATTGTTAATATATTTTCAATTACAATAAATACATGGAAAGCTAACTGCTGCAAAGAACCAGTTTCAGGCATAATGCATGTTTCCAGAAATCCATTTAGTGTCAAATACCTATCCAAGGCATCCTTAGAAAATAAAGTCATAGATGCCTGCGGCTCAGTGTTTTGTATGGAGTAAATGGATCTGCCCAGAGTTGAACATCCTGGGAGGCTAGAAAGGGTGGTAGATGTTTTCTGATTGGCCAGATTCACCATTGTAGCCACTTTCTCATAACATTCTTACAGAATTCTATAAGTGCCCATCTGCCCCGAAACGGCAAGGATCTCTGCATTATAAAAAGAAAACGCTAGTTAAACTGGGCATCAACAAAAACAGTTCAAGCAAAACTATTAATGTTAAATAATGTATGAGATGCATCCATAGGAATAGGTAGATGGTAGCAGTAAGATTTTTTTCCCTGAAAATTGGCTTTCATATTAGATAATACTAATAATTTATATTAATAAAAACATTGGCATTTCTGATTATTCTAGTAATGGAATAGAAGAAACATTGGAAGAGTCTTCTCATGAACCTGAACCAGAGTTAGAATCTGAATCAAAAACTGAAGAACTGAAAACTGAAGTCGAAGAAAAAAACCTTGAAGAACTAGAAGAAAAGTCTCCATCCCCACCTCCTGTAGAAACTGCTTCTCTACCACAGGAACCACCAAAGGTTGGTTAAGGCAGTATGCTTTGTGTCATTAAATTGAAGCTGTTAGCAAACTCTTGATTATGAGGGGGCTCTGAATATTTGTAATCACAAACAGACCTAAAGAGAATATAGCTTGCACTGATAATTCAGTGTTTGTCAGGTATGTTCAAATTGCCCGGCATATACAAAGAGATTAAAATTATATATTGTCTAAATCCAAAGGATAAATATGTATAATAGACACTGAGGCTCATAACTATGTGGAGTAATATTTAGTACTGTAATATTTAAACATTGTTAGAATATAGTATTATGCTTTTATCATAATCAGTACTTCATTTTTCTCAGTTATTTAATTTGAAATAATCCAGTCCTAAGACTAATCCCTTGTTGCTGAATAGCAGTTTGTAGTACCTTGTTTGTAATAGTAGTAGTACCTTGTTTGTTTTTTTGACTTTGCAGTCTGCAGGAAAACAGTAAGAATGTTATATATAGTCCTTAAATTCTTAAGGACTTGGTTTTGGTAATTGAAGAATACATACTATATTCTTTTTCTTTTCTGGTACAGACATAATATTCTTGCTGTCTTAAAGAAGAGTAAAACCTTAGGAGTGAACTGTGCATACATCTTTCTCTTACTGAATTTAGTTACACTTAACATTTTATTGGATGTGATGTTAATCAAAGTTAACTTTAATGTTAGCCCAGAATCTCTTCTAACTTGGATTTCAGATTTGGTTTGAAGATAATCAACCCTACTAGTTTTGTTTAAACTTATTTGTTTAAATTATTTTTGGCCCACTCATTCTCTAGAGGATCTTGGGGTGGATAACAGTCTGTAAAAGCAAATAAAAACAAACCAAATAGAATAAATAATGAACTAATTTAGAATACCATATAATAAATGTGACACTAACAGAGGCACTTAAGAGATAAAATATGCTGTGGACATGAAATCACAAGTGCAAGAATAAAAAACATGGTTTTCATTTGGTGCTAAAAATCAGATAATTTTGGTCTCATTTTTGCCCCCAGGGAAGAGCATTCCAAAGTCAGGGTATCGCAACAGATTTTTTTTTTAATCCAAAAAGTTAAAAAAATTATTTACTTAAAACAAAACCAAGTTTTATGCACTAATCAGTAAAAGTGAATAAGCAATAAATGAATAGAAGAATCCACAGTTCAGCAATTTAAAAATGATAAATAAAAATATATCTTCTTAATACCTTTAAAATAGTACTGAATCACCCAAACAAGTCTTCCTGTGAATGGCATTTTACAGCAATGAACAAAGAAGCCCATTTCTGCTTGTTATTCATCTAATCTGTAAAATCAGGGGCACCTAGAAAATGGACTTAGGTTATTTCCTTTGGGAGTTTTATGTGGAAGAGATACCTATTCCTGGTACCCTACTGCCAAACTCTAAAACCTGCTGTCTGAATTATGCTTGGAGGCCTATTGGGAGGTATAGTTTTTTTCAAAAACCAGGAAGATTTACAATACTTTAGCCATTGCATTTTTAATCAGTTTAAGTTTTTGAATGATCCTCAAAGCTCCACATGTCAACGGTACATTAGTCTAGATGATAAATGACATTCTTCCCCCCTGGGAATGTACCCATTCAGATAGATTGTTTAGTGCAGTAATCTCAGCTCATAAATAGTTTGTGCTATAGGTGTTACATAGGTATTAAGAAAAAAGCTGAAGCTAGTGAGTTTCTAAAGTTTCCTGTTAGTGAAAAAGCTCCTGCTTAACTTTGCTAACAGTTAATTCAGGTGCTGATGTCCCATACTGCTGCCATAGCCAAGGCTAGCAGGAAAGAAGTTTGCTTTCAATTCAGAAAGAGAAGGGATTGAGAGAGTGTATTATCCTGTCATCTTTTTGCAGCTTCTTAAACGTGGGAATGTTAAGTCTGTACTACTTTCAAAGAAAAAAAAACATATTGAATAATTGACATCAGTATATGTTAGAGTTAGTAAGAGCATTTGTAATCTTATGCGATGAACCTAAGCATGGCACTTGCTTAACTCTATGTTGCACAAATGAATAGACTTAAAATACATTGTTCTAATTAATTTTGTCAGTTTTGGAATAGGATAGGAATGTTTTCATAGTCCAGTTTTTCCTTAAGTAATGCCAATGGTTTGCCATGATCAGTAGACCAGGTTTGTTGCATTTCCCGCAGGCTTTCTCCTGGGCTTCAGTGACCAGTAAAAACCTGCCTCCTAGTGGTACTGTTTCTTCCTCTGGAATTCCAACTCATGTTAAAGCACCAGTCTCACAGGTAACCAATCTGTGAACGCCTTAGATTATTTTCTTGTTTACATCTGCAAACTGTTTCACTAACAAAGCTGTATTATTTTTCTGCTTCATATACAGCCCACGGTCCTGTACTATGGATACTTGTTTAAAGCTGCAACACTGATCTCTTGATAGCACAGTGATTGTTTCCATTGCAGGAATGCTTGTGAGAAAGTAATAGGGGATATCTGGAAGTAACAGGGAGGGGAGAGAACTACCTTAATAGAAATCTAGCTAAGACATTCCAGAGACAATTTTCATAATGTGGAATTTCCCATTTCTTTAAATTTATGTCAAGCTTTTCTTTGAAGAAACTTAGAAAACTATACACATACAGTAATTCCCAACAGATTACTTTGTAAAAGACTTAAATACAGATTTTTTTTTGCCTAAATGCACATTTCCAAATATTCATATTTAAGATTTGAAAAAAAATAGAAAAAAACAATAGTGATGATTTATGTCATTGTTGCTGTTTACTTCCTATGATAGTTTTGTAACAAAACAAAAATATGCCTTTTCTATATATCCTCTGCAAGCTAAATGTTTGTATGGATGGATTAAATGAGTCTTTACTTTCCAAATAAATAAACAATATTAGAGTTTCCTAGTAAAAACAGCCAGTCTGGTATAGCGGTTAAGGTGCAGGCCTAGAAACCAGGAGACTGTGAGTTCTAGGCCTCAGTTAGGCATGAAAGCTGGCTGGGTGACTTTGGGTCAATCACTGTCTCTCAGCCCAACCCACCTCACAGGGCTATTGTGGGGAAAATAGGAGGTAGGAGGTACGTTCACTGCCTTGAGTTGACCAATTTTTTTTAAAAAGGGCAGGAAATAATAATAATCATGATAATGATAATGATTTGAAAGTATTAGTTTAATGCCCAACCATACTTATGTTGGATGATGTTGGCTTCCCCACTGACTTTGATTGTTGGAAGCCAGCAGAAAGTTGCAATGACCTTGCTTAATCCACGATCCTGGCTTAACGACAGCAACAGGAACTGCCAGGATCTAAGTGATGTCATGTGATGTCTTATTTTACAACCTCATTGCTTAGCGATGGAAACTCTGGTCCCAGTTATTGTTGTTAAGCAAGGACTACCTGTAGAATAAATTTAGGAGCAAAGCTTCCAAAACAGATGACTAAACTTAGGAATTTAAGAATTTCTGAGCATTTCCATCATGTTTTTATGTTATGTTTTTCCCAAGACACTTTGTATTGCTAATAAATACCAATGTCCCTTAAATACTATTTGAGATACTTTAGTTAAGAGCACATATGGAAAAAATTCTGCTTCTGTTCAAGCAAAATGATTTCAATAGATTTTGAAGCATACTGTTTTCTAAAAAGGTTGCCTTTCCTTATCCTTCAAATAATTGAAGCATTGCTTTAGTTCTTGCGAGTGAATTGGCTTGCTTTGGAGAGAACTAGGGAATGAACGTTGTAACCACTAAATTGTAATGTGTATCTTCATCAGGGACCATAAAATTGTACCTCTGCAGATTTCCTATCTCTGGAGAATTATTTTTTATCCAATGGAATAGAGTGGTAACTAGAAGTTCATTGCCACTTTACCTATCCTAAATAATACTTGTAGAACAAATTGTATGGGAAGACATTCTCATGCTATTTGTTCTTCTTGAAGAGGAAAAAAAAAGAACGATTAGGTATTGTCAGCCCTTTACAGGTATCAGTATTTATTCTCAAGTTAGAAGGTTGTGTATGCTTCTGATAGTCTATAGTTCATATCAGTTTCAAATAACATTTACCCTTAAGGTTTGCTTCCTTTGCCTATTTATGATGGTATTCTCAAGTCAAAATATTTGGTAGTTTTCTTGCAATTTAAAATCATGCTTCCTATTCTAACAACCTGTTGATTTCTGGTGCAGGTATTTACCTAGTTCAATGTCTGGGGAGAAAACTTCTTTGACCTAAAACTAGATTTATTTTTCTTCTCCACATTAAGGGACTTAATAAATCCAGATTTATTTTCTTGCTGTAAAGTAAACTAAGTTCTGCATAGTCATTCAGCTTCTCATTATCTAATTTATCATGAACAGCATCCATCCTGCTTGAAAGTTTCAGGATAGTCCTTGTTCCTCCAGAGATTAATAATGGTAGCATTTAGTTGGAGTTCTTTTGAATTAATAGGTTATCAAGGCTTTTCAATATTCAGTATTCAAAGGTAATTCTACATACCCTTGATATTCTAAAAATCATACAGAAAAGTAAATGCTTTAAATTTCATTTATTTCTTTTGATTTGATATTATTAGCAGTCTGAGAAGCAACTATAGTAAGCCAACCTGTCTGCTGCTCTTTCCTCAAAAGTACTGGTTCATTTTATACATTGCTCTCTAAAATAATAATTATTTAGCATTTTTATTATACATTTGAATGTGCAAATATTCAGTGTTACTCCTACAGTGATCTGCCTAAAATGTAAGACAGTTATAGCAGATTGTGGAATAGTAAGTGAGAGTAAGAGAGAGTAATAATAAGAGAGAGGTTTATAGCAGAGATGAGATTTCTCATTCATCTCTAATCACTAGCTTGCACAAGTTCTCACTTATGACTCTAGTACTGGGGCTAATTAGTTCTGAGTTAGAAAGCTGTACAAGTTTGGTTGTTTTCAGGTAAAGAGGCAAATGGCCATTTGCAAGCCTAGATTTACAATTTAGGCTATTTCTGTGTTGTACTGTATGTTATAGAAAATGCTTGTTCTGATGGGTTATTTTTGTTTAATAAGTTATGGTTTTCTTGTTTGGGATTAATAGTAAACAACAGCTTCATTTGTATCTAAGTAATTTATTATATCTTTGTATATAAGTAATCTAGTTTATTATATCTATGGCTTTTTGCAGCAAAATTGCAATATTAAATATGCATAGCATTCACCTGGATCAATATAAAGCTCCTTTTAATGGTGTCTTATTTCTAAAATAGTAAGCTTTACTACTTTAGCTGTTTTAAACTTTAAATAAGCTAACAAATCAATCTCTCTAATGAATGCCCCCATACATATTTTTTAAATCTTACATATTCTGAAAACAAGGACATTTTCAAATAAATGTGAATAAGATTTAACCTGAGTTGCTGCCACCTATAAAATACAAAACTTCATCTATTGCAGTGAAAAAAAAAATCTGTAGTAAGTTAAGAAATAAGTCTCCTCTTGTCAGAAACTAAGGCGCCAAGTCTTCAGAAGCTCATTGAGAACTGTATGAGTGTGAGAAAGAAAGTTTATTGCAGGATTGATGGCATGGTGAAAGAATGTAATTAACTGAATAGACTTGAGTTATGGAATGTTTTGGGTGAATATGAAGGATGATTGCTGAATGCAATAAGAATGATACTGTGATAGAATAAAACATTCATGAGGAGATTGGAGTGCTTAGTAAATGGATCAGCCCTGGTAGGAGATAAGAAAGGAATGCCTGGTGTCCCCTTGATTGTTCCATGTATTCATGTGTAAGGAATACTTGTATTGACATTAGAGGTGTATTGGTTGAAAACATGGATGTAGGTATACTTTTTATGCAGATGATGTGTTATTGTATGAGAATCTCAATGATTTGCAGTGAATATTAGATTATATGATGTGTCAAGGAGTATGGATCTGAAAGTTAATGTATCCAAAGACCAAGGTAGTTATGCATGGTGCAAATATTGAGTAGTCTTTTTAACAAATAGTACTGGTGCCTGGATTACCTTTACAGAATTTCCTGACTCCTCCTATATTATCATTGTGATTATGATCAACCTCTACAAAGCAGCTCCAAACGTAAATTATCTCTCCTTTTAATACTAAACAAATTTTGTTGGGCTGCACTGGTTGCTGGTTCACATCCAACCTGAATTGAAGGTGCTGGTGGTTATCTATAAAGCTCTTTATGGTTCAGGTGATTGTTACCTTCATGTCTGTCTGCTCCAGGTAGAATCTGTCTACACAATATTGACAGGCTGAGGGACAAAGTACAGGTCCCCATCCTCCGGTGTATGGAGACAAGCTTGAAGAAGGAATGCAAGAACTATTAAGTAAATGCCACGTTAGTCCTTGGAATGAAGAGGGGGTGAGAAAGAAACTCAAAATAACCGCATCTGGTCTGTTTGGTATAAGAGGGGACAGAGGGAAACTCTGTCAGGCTTTCAAGATTGTGTTATTACATCCTGTAACAAATAGAGTTCTAGTAGTTCTTGGGTAATCTGTTTTCTGACCTGGCCTACCTTGAAGGATTGATACCTGGGAAGTTAAGGGAGTGGGGGACTAGAGCCTGACTTATTTGTTTGTAGGGTGGAGGAGGAATGAGGAAACAGTGCCATGAATGTATGCCAAGAGATAATCCTAACAGGGCCACCCAAGGAGTGAAAGTCATCCCAGGTGCCCAGCTAAAGTAAGCAGGCACCTATATTGGGCAGCAGCAATATAAGAAGTTGCTGGAGGTGAATTATTACTTTAGTGACAACAGCAAACACATCATTTCATACTGTGCAGAAAAAACAATAGTAAACCACTCCTGTATTTTACTAAAAAAAATCACATGAATAGACAGTATTAAATTATTGATAATATAGTGCCAGATGATGGGTCATTAAGTGGCACTTAATAAGCTATTGGGGAAGAACAGAGGACCTTTTGGAGTACTAATGATGCTTATGATATGGATAGATTAAGGCCCTTGGAATATCTAGTTGCTAATGTTAGTGTGCAGAAAAAGAAAATCCAAAGTTGCAAGGAATTACAGCGTGAGTACGGAACATAAGCACCATGAACACGGGAAAGCTCAGCACAGTGAAAGATGGAATGAATCAACTAACATAGACATCTTAGGCACCATAGAATTGAAATGGACTTGAATTGGATACTTTCAGCCAGAAAATCATACTGTTTGATACTCAGGACAGAAAAACAAGGAAGGAACTGCATTGTTTTCATAGTTAGGACAGTACTTGGGTACAATGCAGTCAATGACCAGATAATAT